TAGGCAATTCAGTTATGAAGGGAACAGACAGGAGACTCTGTGGCTGCAAAAGAGACACCAGGATGGCATGTTGTCTCCCGGGTGCCAGGGTCAAGGATGTATCTGAGCGGTTGCAGAACATTCTGAAGGGGGAGGGTGAACATCCTGAGATCATTGTGCACATCGGTATAAATGACATCGATAGACAAAGGGATGGGATCCTGCGAAACGAGCATAGGCAGTTAGGTAAGAAGTCAAAAAACATGAACTCAAGGGTAATGATCTCCACACGCCAATGAGGATAGAAATAGAAAGATAGACCAGATGAATGCGTGGCTGAGGAGCTGGTGTAGGGGGCAGGGTTTTCAGTTCTTGGATCATTGGGATCTCTTTTGGGGGAGAGGTGACCTGTACAAGAGGGATGGGTTGCACGTGAACCAGAGGTGGTCCAATATCCTTGTGGGGAGATTTGCTAGTGTTACCTGGGAGGGTGTGAACTAGTCTGGCAGGGGGGCCCACCCACTCTGAATAAGAGAGGGGCCATCGAGAAGTCAGGGGAAAGTACATTAGCCATCGAGAGCAAGTTTATTATTCAGGATAGCCAAAGGCTCAGTAAAGGGAGGGAAAAGGCTTCTGGTGTAAACTACATTTATTTCAACGCATGAGGCCTGACTGGTAAGGCAGATGAGCTGAGAACATGGATTGGCTCTGGGGACTGGGATATTATAGCCATAACAGAAACATGGCTGAGAAAAGGGCAGGACTGGCAGATCAAATGTTCCAGGATACAGACTCTACAGGCATGACAGAAGTACAAGTGAGTGAGGAGGGGAGTTGCTCTTTTGATAAGGGAGGACATAACAACAGTGCTGAGAGAGGATATTCCTAAGGGGTTATCAAATGAGGCCATATGGTTAGAACTTAGAAACAAGAAGGGGACAGTCACTCTGTTGGGACGGTATTATAGACCACCAAATAGCCAGTGGGTACTAGAGAAGCAGATGTGTAGAGAGATTGCAGATACTTGTAGGAATAAGAGAGTAGGATTGGTTGGAGATTTTAATTTCTCCTGTATAGTTTTGGCCACCCAGAGTGTAAAAGGCCCAGACGGGGTGGAATTTGTCAAATGTGTCCAAGAAAGTTTCCTGAACCAATATGTAGAGGGCCCTACTCGGGAGGGTGCAAACCTGGACATCCTCTTAGGAAATGAGGTCGGGCAAGTGACTGAAGTCTCAGTCGGAGAGCACTTTGGGTCCAGTAACCGTAACTCTAAGTTTTAACATAGTTGTAGAAAAAGATATGACAGGTCAATGTGCTAAACTGGAACAGGGCCAATTTTGGGGCCATTAGGCAGGATCTACAGAGGTCGATTGAGTGAATCTGTTTGAAGGAAAAGGAACAACTGGCAAATGGGAAGCTTTTAAACGTGTAATATCAAGAGTCCAGCGACAATATGTCCCTGTTAGGGTGAAGGGAAAAGCTGGCAGGTTTAGGGATCCCTGGCTGATGAGGGATATTGAGCCTCTGGTCAGGAAAAAGAATGAGGCATACATTGGGTTTAAGCTATTGGGCTCAAGTGAATCTCTAGATGACTATAAAAAGTGTAGGAACATACTAAGAGGGAAATCAGAAGAGCAAAGAGAGGGCATGAGATGGATCTGGCAGATAAGGTTAAAGATAATCCCAAGAGGTTCAATAGCTATATTAAGAGTAAAAAGGTGGCTCGGGAGAGTATAGAGCCCCTTAAAGATCAGCATGGCCTTCTATGTGTGGAGCCACAGGAGATGGGGGAGATTTTTAATGAATATTTCTCCTCAGTGTTTACTGAGGAGAGAATCATGGGTGCTAAGGAAATAAGGGAAACAAGTGGGGATATTTTGGAGCGCATACATATTACCAGAGAGGAGATGTTTGTAGCCTTAAAGCGCATTAAGGTGAACAAATCCCGTGGGCCTGATCAAGTCCATCCTCGGATATTGTGGGAGGCTAGGGAAGAAATTGCAGAGGCTCCTGCAGAGATTTTTGCTTCATCTTTAGCCACTGGAGAAGCTCCAGAAGGCTGGAGGGTGGCTAACGTTGTTCCATTGCTTAAGAAAGGTAGCAAAGACAAGCCAGGGAACTACAGGCCAGCGAGCCTGACATCAGTGGCATTGAGCGTAGGAGTTGGGAAATTATGTTACAGTTGTGTAAGTCTTGGTAAGGCCGCACTTGGAGTATTGTGTACAGATTTGGTCACCCTGTTATAGGAAAGACATAGTTAAAGTGGGAAGTGTGCAAAGAAAATTTACGAGGATGTTGCCAGGACTAGTAGGCCTGAGTTATAGGAAGATGTTGGCCAGGTTAGGACTTTATTCCTTGGAATGTGGGAGATTGAGGGGTGACCTTATTGAGGTGGATAAAATCATGAGGGCCATAGATAGGATTAATGCATATAGTCTTTTTCCCAGGGATGGGGAATTTAAAACTAGAGGGCAGAGGTTTAAGGTGAGAGGGGAACGTTTTAAGGACCAGAGACATAGATTCCTACAGCCCGGAGCCAGGCCCTTTGGCCCAAATTGGTCCATGCCAACCTAAACGCCCATGCACGCTAACCCCATTTTCCTGCACTCGGCCCATATCCTTCGAAATCATTCCTATCCTTGTATTCGTCCAAATGTCTTTCAAATGTTGTTAATGTACCCGCCTCAACCACTTCTGCTGGCAGCTCATTCCATATGCATCCTACGCCTGTAAAAAAGCAAAAGTTGCCCCTCAGGTCCCCGTGAATTCTTTCCCCTCTTACCTTAAACTGATGCCCTCTAGTCCTCGATTTCCCCAACCCTGGGAAAAAGACTAACTGCATTCGCCCTATCCATGCCTCTCGTGATCTTATACACTTCTATAAGATCCACACCCCAACTCTCAGTCTCCTATGCTGTAAAGAGAAAAGTCTTAGCTTATCCAACGTCTCCCTATAACTCAATCCCTTGAGTCCTGGCAACATTCTTGTAAATTTCTTCTGAACTCTTTCCAGTTTAGTAACACCCATCCTACGGCAAAGTGACCAAAACTAAACACAATACTCCAAGTGCGGCCTCACCAACATCCTGTACAACTGCAACATAACTTCCCAACTTCTGTACTTAATGCCGTGACTGGTGAAGGCCAGTGTGCCAAAAGCCTTCTTCACTGCCCTGTCTACCTGTGACTCCACTTTCAGAGAGGTGCAACTTCTTCACGCAGAAAGTGATGCATAAATGGAATGGCCTGCCAGAGAAAGTGGTTGAGGCAGGTACAATGGCAACATTTAAAAAAACATTTGGATAGGTACATGGATGGGAAGGGTTTAGAGGGATATGGACCAAATGTGGACAATTGGAACTCGCTGAGTGGGCACCCTGGTTAACATGGACCAGTTTGCACAGAAGGGCCTGCTTCCATGCTGTATTACTCTATGACTCTGCCTCCAAGCACAAGTTCCCTCCTTTATCATTGAGTGATCCTATCCTCTCCCTAGTTATCCTCTTGCTTTTAATATATAAAATGCCTTGGGATTCTCTTTAACCCTACTTGCCAAGGACATTTCATGGCCCCTTCTTGCTCTCCTGCTTCAGTTCTTTCCTGCTTTCTTTATATTCCTCATGGGCCCTGTCAGATTTAAGCTTCCTGAATCTTACATATGCTTCTTTTTTCTTTTCAACTAAATTCACAAACTCCCTCGTCATCCAAGGGTCCCATACCTTGTCATCCTTGTCCTTCCTCCTTACTGAACATGCCAGCCCTGAACTCTGATCAGTAGGACTTTAAACAATTCCCATATGTCAAATGTGGACTTGCCTGATAACAGTTGCTCCCAATTAACTCTCCCTAGTTCCTGCCTAATACTGACATAATTTGCCCTCCCACAATTTAGTACCCTATCGCAAGGTCCTGACTTATCCTCATTCATAGCTATCTTAAAACGTAAGGAGTTGTGATCACTGTTTCTGAAATGTTCTCCCACTGTAAGGTCAGTCACCTGGCCAGGCTCATTGGCTAATACAATCGATGAGATGTCTGTTGTCTGGACATGAATGATGGTCATTCAGTCTGCTAGGCAATGGAGCTGCATTCCTTCATAAATCTGTGCCTCCAGGGAGGAGAAAATCACAGAGGGGGAAATAGAAAAGATGTTTTTAAAGTGATACTTGCGATACTAAACTGTGTAAACTGAGTTTAAGGCAAGTAAAAACGTGACTCAAGTTCCAGTAAAATATTTTCTCTTAATTTTGTCACCTTGAATCATCAGCTCTGAAGGGCGACAGCAGAACTCCACCCTAATTTGAGGAGCTTTTCAGGTAAACTATTATTTGGCAATATTCTTTTCATCAGTGTTTCACAAAGCTCAATTATCACATGAATTGTTCGCGAAATATGATATGACTGATCTTTTCTTTAACATGGCTATTTAATGCTGTGTTTAGACCAGAATGTATGAATTTGTGCTTTCTTTCTACGGATTATGCACTGACTTAGGTAGAAGGGTCAGCAGTAATTTAAAAAAAAATGTGCTAGAAATACTCAGCATAGCTAACAGCTTCTTGGAGAGAGAGAGAGAGAGAGAGAGAGAGAGAGAGTGTTAACATCATGAACAATTTGACTCTTCTGCTGAGTATTTTCAGTAATTTGTTTTTATTTCAGCTTTCCAGCAACTGCCCTATTTTATTTTATTCCAGCATTGATATTATCCAAGTCACCCATTCAGCCAAATTCAACTTATTGTTAAGGAAGACCTGGTCAGAGGGCAGAAATGCTGCAGATGGTTTTTTTTTAAAAGGATACAGAGTACAAACAGAAGTTAGGATTCTGTCAGTGATAAAGTCCACAATAACCTATGTCTCGTAACAAATGAAACTCTACAACGTCTGTAAAGGGTGGATAGTGAGGTCCGGTTAATGGGGAAGCTAATATTTGGTGCACTGTAACTAAGGAACATTGTTGGGATAAACTGGTATACCGTTTTGGATAGTGTTGGGGGGTGATAGCTTCTCAGGAGATGGTACAAGCAGCAGCCAGGCCTGTGGCACCACAACTGGTTCTGCTGTAGAGCAAGCTGGAGCAAAGTCCAGGCGAGCGATAGTAGTAGGTGGCTCGATAGTCAGGGGCACAGACAGGCGTTTCTGTAGCCGTGAATGAGACTCTAGGATGGTGTATTGCCTCCCTGGTGCCAGAGTCCTTGGTGTCTCTGAGCAGGTACTGGACATCCTGAAGCGGGAGGGAAAACAGACAGCAGTCATTGTCCACATTGGCACAAATGACATAGGTAGGAAGAAGGAAGAGGTCCTGCGAGGACAATTCAGGGGAGTTAGGTAGGGGGCTAAAAAGCAGGACTACCAGGGTAGTAACCTCAGGATTACTACCTGTCCCATGGGCTAGTGAGGCTGGGAACAGAGAGAGAGTACAATTGAACACGTGGCTACAGAGCTGGTGTAGGAGGGAGGGCTTTAGATAAATGGTTCATTGGGATGCCTTCTGGGGAAGGTGGGATGTGTACAGGAAGGACGGGTTGCATCTGAACTGGAGGGGCACCAATATCCTGGGCAGGAGGTTTGCTAGAGTTCTTCGGGAGGGTTTAAACTAGTGTGGCAGTGGGGTGGGAACTGGAACAACAGGCCAGTAAGTGCAAAGCCTGGGGACAAAAAGGGAGACTGAGATATGCATAGCACAGAGTAAGAGCAGACAGGGGGAAGTTGTGGGGCTCAGAAGGACTGGAGGTCTGGAGTGCATTTACTTCAATGCAAGAAGTATAACAGTTAAGACAGATGAACTAAGAGCATGGATTACTGCATGGAATTATGATGTTATTACCATTACGGAGACAAGGTTAAAGGAGAGCGGCACGGTGGCTCAGTGACTAGCATTGCTGCCTCACAGCACCAGGGACCTGGGTTCAATTCCACCCTTGGGCGACTGTCTGTGTGGGGTTTGCACATTCTCCTCCTATCTGCATGGGTTTCCACTGGGTGCTCTGGTTTCCTCCCACAGTCCAAAGATGTGCAGGCTAGGTGGATTAGCCATGTGAAATTGCCCAGTGTTCAGGGATGTGTAGATTAGGTGGGTTATGGGGGATGGGTTTGGGTGGGTGCTCTGAGGGTCAGTGTGGACTTGTTGGGCCGAAGGGCCTGTTTCCACACTGTAGGGATTCTATGATCTGTGATTTGAGATAGGACTGACAGCTTAACATTCTAGGATATCACTGTTTTAGATGGGACCAAAAGTTGCATTGCTGATTAGGGATCACATCACAGCTGTGCTGAGGGAGGATACATCAGAGGGATCTTGTAGTGCGGCATTATGGGTGGAGCTCAGGAACAGGAAGGGTGAAATCACAATGTTGGCAGTTTTCTATAGATCTCCCAACAGCCCATGTGAGACAGAGGAGCAGATATGTAGTCACTGGAAAGGTGTGAAAAAAGCAGGGTAGTTGTGGTGGGTGACTTCAACTTTCTCCTTATTGACTGGGACTCCCTTAGAGCCAGGGGCTTGGATTGACAGCAGTTTCTTAGATATGTCCAGGAGGGCTTTTTGAGACAGTATGTTGACAATCCAACCAGAGAGGAGGCTGTACAAAACTTGGTATTAGGGAATGAGCCAGGACAAGTGATCAATATTTCAGCAGGAGAGCTGTTTGGGCTTAGTGACCATAACTCCATAAGATTTCAAGTGGTCATGGACAAGGGCCAATTACATCCAAATTAGACATGGGCATGGGGAATGTGGATAGGCAGCAGTTATTTCAGGGCAAAGCTACGTCTGGCATGTGGGAGGCTTTTAAAGACCAGCTGATTAAAGTGCAGGACATACATGTCCCTGCAAAACTGAAGGATAGGAATGGGGGGATTCGGGAACCATGGATGACAAGGGAAATTGTAAGCTTAGTCAAAAGGGAAAAGGAAGCATACGATAGGTTTAGGCAGCTACAAACTGACAAAGCCCTTGAGAATATAGAAGTTAGGAAGGAACTTAAACACAAAATTAGGAAGGCTAAAAGGGGCCAAGAAATGGCTTTAGCAAACAGGGTCAAGGAGAATCCCAAGGCGTTTTATGCATATATTAGAAGACGGTAGCAAGGGAAGGAGTAGGTCCACTCAAGGACAAAGGAGGGAAGTTATGTGTGGAGCCACAGGAAGTGGGAGTTCATTAATGAGTACTTTGTATCGGTATTCACCAAAGAGAAGGAGATGACTGATGTTGAGGTCAGGGATGAGTGCGTGAATACTCCAGAGAATGTCAATATATTGAAGGAGGGCGTTTTGGGTATCCTAAATTACATTAAGGTAGACAAGTTCCCAGGGCCAGATGGGTCTATCCCAGGTTACTGCGAGAGGCAAGGGAAGAAATAGCTGGGGCATTAGCAGATATCTTCACATCCTCATTGACCACAGGCGAGGTTCCAGAGCACTGGAAATTAGCCAATGTCGTTCCCTTGTTTAAGAAAGGAAGCAGGGATAATCCAGGAAATTACAGGCCTGTGAGCCTGACATCTGTGGTGGGGAAACTCTTGGAGAAGATACTGAGGGACAAGATATATGCACATTTGGAAGAATATGGACTAGTTAGTGACAGGCAGCATGGTTTTGTATGGGGAAAGTCATGTCTCACCAACCTGAATGAATTTTTTAGAAAGGTGACAAAGATAATTGAGGGAAGGGCTGTGGATGTAGTTTATATGGACCTTAGTAAGGCATTTGATAAAGTCCCACA